TAACTTTAACAGGCAAGAGAGATCTTTGTCCTGGTTATCTAGCAGGCTATTTTACAATCCCTGAATCCAACATTACTGAGCTTTAGCCACTGAAGCTCCTGCCAATGGCGCTTTAACCTGAAATCCTGCTGCTTGATATACTCATCTGCTCAAGGTTTCAGCCTTTTTATCAATAGGGTCTTTAAGTCCAGAAACTTCTCCAATCGGTATAGTAGTCTTTTTAGAAACTGTGCAACTTGTACATCGACTGGCAAGTCTTCCCACTTGTCTTCTCCTTGCAGCTTTATGATGTTTTTGAAATGCCTGGAATTAAATGCCCTTTTTTCCTGGGTTTTTCCACTCTCTGTACATAAGTTCCAGAATCTGCTGTGGAACAGAAAATGCTTTCTTACTCGCTTTATCTGATTTTTCTTCAGAGAAGGCAACATTAACTTCCTTAATAAATTTTCTTAATTCTTCTTGTGAAAAACCAAGTTCTGTAATAGAAGAATCTCAGGAAGTTTCTGAATAGGAAGACATAGAACATTCGTCCGAGGACAGATCTGATCAAGAAGAAGATCTGTACAGTTTTTGCCTCTGTTTTTGCTTGGACTTTTCCAGCGATAAGGATGAACACTGGTTGCAGATTTTCCTTTTAGTACCATCTTGTAGTGGTGTGGAGCATTTGCTACAACTCAGATGTTTTGACTTATAACTGGCACCTTGTATTTATCCATAATATCTGGAGAGACAGTACTAGACATATCTCCATAACATAAAACAATTATGAAATTGTAGAAATTTAAGAAAAATAAGAGACACAGAGGTCTTAAAGATTAGAGATTTAAAAAAAAAATCTCACCTCTAACCCGTAGGGCGGGGGCTGGTTACATGGGAGATCTTTCCTGGCAAGCATCCATGTTGTCAGTAGGATCCGCACAGCTTAAATAGGTAGCATTCATTTAAATTTTGGCGCTATTTCCGACACGGCATGCGTAGTAGCACGGTTGGAACGCCGGGGGAACACATTACCTCCCGGGCATGCATTCCACCACTACATGCGTCTCGCTCGGGCAGTGATTTGCTGCTGCTAGAGACCTCCTCCTTGCTTTGCCGGTGACCGCACTCAGCATAAAGCAAGTGAAACATATCTTCTCGTAACGCCTGCAGGATGAACGCAGGCCACTCAGCTCTCCACCCGATAGGCTATCAGGCCAAATCCCCCTGGCAGCAACCCCAAAATCCAGATGCCATCTGTTCCTCATGGAACAGGAAAGAGAACTGAGGGTCCATGACAGGTTGGTGTGTTATACCTGTTGGGGGAGGAACTTTTGTTAATTTCATATGCTTGTCCCATGGGAAGAGTACATCCCTATTGTACTGCCACCATATGTCAGGAAAATAAGGTTTATGCTATCCCCATAAAATAGATGTCCCCTAATCTCAGGACCTGAAATTAGGGGACATTTTATTATGAGGTTATGGTGACAGCATTAACTTTATTTTGCTAATGCTTTAATAAAGTTGATCCTGCCCCCATAACTTCATAAAATAATTGATGTCCGCAACCACGATTAGCATGGTCTTGTGAGAGTTGCAGCCAGAAGCAGCTGAAAAGACAAGATGGTGCCGACAGGGGACTCTTACAACATGCTATGTTGCACTGCTATTGTTCTCATTTAATCCTGACACTTCACGAGGTACCTCCTTGCACTGTACACACTTCCACGTCACTCTACCACTTTGCACACTGCCATTTTACACGTCAGTTACAACACACTACACCCATTACAAAAAAAAACAAAAACATACAATCTGCCTTTACCATATAAACACTCTGCATCTATTCTACACACACACTGCATCCACTATACACTCTTCACACCCCCACACACTACAGGAGAGGGCAGAATCAAGGGCGAAGCCAGTGGGGTGGCAAAAATATTTGCACCAGCCTGGATTTGCTTTTAAAACAAATCTGTCCTTTCTAGCCCTAAAATAAAGTCAGTGATGAGCATAATGTAAGGTTAAGAGCATCTCTGGAGGAGACCATGGGCATAGTTGGTTTTGCGTAAAGTTTGCAGTAAGGATGTCCTCTGAACCAACGTCATGGAAACATGGGCTCCACTGTTTTAGTGGTGTTGGGAAAGGAGGGGGTGTGTAATCGTAAGAGTATAAAATTCTGAGATTGAGTACAAAACAAGGTTTGAAGTACATAATAGAGCACCTGTAATAAGTATGTTATGTACATGAGTTGTTTGATTAGGTCTATATAGCATGTATTAATGGCTTGCTGTAATACTTTTATAGTGACAAAAAAAAACCTGCAGTCCAACAATAAAAATGTTTTTATTTTAGGCACAAGACAGCAATACAAAAAGTTATATAAAAGTGCAGATTTACTGCTGTTCAAGATCTTCAAAGGACAGTAATAGTCTGTCCGGAAAGTCAAGAGAGCAAATGAAGAGTAGTAGAACATGTTCTGTTATAGATGTTAGAAAGTTGTAAAACTCTGGCCTTAGAGACATGTGAAGACCCTTATTCCTCTCGTATACCCATTACCCAATTCTTATGTTACCATCTGCTCTTTTTAACCCATTAAACATCCACACCTACTCTCCGTCAAGGAGACAGTTCAGGGTACAGCCAAATACCACTGGCCAATCAGAGCATGTCCTCATGGAGATTCGTTGAATAAGAAGCATCTGAGGAACGATCAGTATCTCCATGCACTGACCCAGGAAACACCACTGTGTTCCTAGGTTATAATGTAGACACATTACTCACCAGAATTATATTAAATCTGTAGTTCTGTGACTATACAGTCCCTTTAAATTCTTACTTTGATTAATAGCTGAGTCAGCCAGGCACCAAAAAAAGTCTTGCCTAAATTCAATTTTGGCTGAAACATTGCAGTTATCTGGAGACCTCTTACAGGATTATTTACTAAAGTGAGAATTGTTGATTCAAAGTAAATTAAAACAAAAACTAAATTGCAAGTCAATGTAGGTATTCTTTCAGTCATGTTGCCCATAAAGGGGAACCTGCAAATTAGTGTTTCCCCACCCATCTCTCCATTCCTTAGAGAACACTTAAATGTTCAGAGATAGGAAGCAGAAAAGATTGCCCAAAGAAGGTTACTCTGTTCTCTAGCATGTGTTGTTGCTATGGTAACTCCTAGCAGGAGGAAGTGAATGCAGCAATGTTGTGATGTTCATTCAGACCCTGGCAATGAAGTCAGTGTATGTCATGAGAATGTTTGCCCTGCCTACTACCAGCCATTTATTCCAGTTTGGCTGTTCTGGCCAAGGTGTTTTTTAGTCATTTCATGTTATGTGAATAAATCCAGTTGTCAATTCAATAAATTTAAGGTACGCAAAACTAGTCAGCAAATTGTAAAAAAAAAAAAAAAAAAAAGTGTTAAATAAAAGTGTTGAGGACTGAAATCAGGAAGTTGGTGAAATGTTGTATTGGTGTGTCAGTATACTAGTGTTAAAGAATGAACGAGTCTAGAAACAATGGAAGTTTCCTACTGAATGATTTTAAACTTGTTCAAGTTTCTTGGTTAGTTACAAGGTAAATGGCCACTTTTCATGGCTCACCAGGAGATATGAGTTTCCAGGCAAAAGTTGTGTTAACCCCTTCATGATAGGCACTGAACATCAACCACCAATGCCATGGGTGTGACTTCTCCCCAAAAGTGTCCCTTAAACATGTAATCTGGTTTGTTTTCTGAGTTGAATAAATCAGATTCTTTTGGTTAAAGGCGTGCCAGGTTAATATACATCTATATTAACCAAAAATACACAATCTGACATGACAAAACCACTGCATTTGTACTTCAAAAGCAAATTACTTAACATTGTTAAGAAATAACATCTGTTAAGAGTGTGAGAGGTCTTAGGTAGTACTCTTAAATATCAGCAAGTCAGGGACACACCAGGAGAGGAGAGTGGGTTGTAAAAAAAAAAAAAAAAAAAACTACTTTGTCCTCAGTTCTTTATAGGCAAAGTTACATCCTAGCTGCCAACTTAGACAATGCCCATGTAAAGAGACTCCCCAAAATAAAGGCCCTACCCACAACCCGCAAACACCATCTGTACTTTTTAAGATATTAGACAGCCACATCTTAATATGCATTTGAATAGGAACAAATGTTTGTCACTGCTGGGATCACTTTGCACAGCTCTCTGCACCAATGCAAGGACTGGGGTGATTTTACACCCCAGCATAAGTGGCAGGCAGCTGTGCAAGACTGATCCCAGCAGCTCCCTCGCAATGCAGGACTGCAACTAACAGTCAGGTGCCTGCTCTCCATCCCTGCCTGTCACTGGAGGCACACCACAAGTAGGTTTAAGAATGTGACTGCATATAGAATGACCAGTGTAACTCCCCAGCTAAAAACATTGGGAGAAGAAAAAAAAACCCACACACACACACACACAAACAACCCTACACCACTAAGTCTGAAGCAGACTCCAGACAACTGCTACACACCTTTAAAGTAAGGTCATGTGAGACAAGAAACTACACAGTTAGGAATGTTTTAAAAAATGCAGTTTATGTATTTAACATTACAATAAAATTTCCCTTTTTTAAAACTAGTAAAAGATTGTTAATAAAATTGTTTCCAAACCAAGCTCCAGGTGATGTTTAAAACCTAGAAAGAGACTATAGAATGGTTAAAATATTGCAGGCTAAATTTTACAGTGGCACAACATTGAAGGTTACTTTATGATCAGTAAGTAAGCATTTGGAAACCACGTCTAGATAGATGCTCAGAGACTAGTTTGCTTATGAAATTGCAGTGGTCCCTCTACAATGTTATAGAGGAGTTAAGTAGGCAATTCTACTTGCTAGTTAGCAACAGGAATTACAATTTGATACATTGAGGCAAAACCCATATAATGAGTATAACAAGAAAGGTTCCTCTAATGCAGTTTATAAAGCATCTATTTAGCCACTGTTCTAATTAATGTTAAACTCAGGGAGGGGTAAGCACAGATTCTGGTTTCTTACCATCATTTAAAGTTGCACTGAGACTTGCCAGCTGCATTTCCTCTGCGTCTCCTGGTAAAGAAGTACAACTCATTAAAATCCCCAAGTGAGCATTTGTTTGGCAACTTCCTACAGAGTGTTGAATACCTGCAACTTTGCATAAAGGTGCATTTAGATGTTTTTTCCTAGTTTAGGATATTACTACACTGGCCTTATTCAGCTGGCACCAAGTACAGTGTGTGGAAGATGTAGGTAATTCAGTTTCATGAAGGTGTAGAAACTAGTGGCTCAAGTTTAAAGTTGCAGTTTACTGCTCTGCAGATATACATGTCTGTAATTGTGAACACAAACACTTACAGTATAAGACACTGAATTAAACCTGGCTATGGTTTTACAAGTAAAGTCCATTATATTCTATGGAACACCAATACAGCTTTTCACCTTTGTGGGACAGTTTATTTCGTATGGGTAATAGTCTTTCCCATTTTACTAATGATATTCTGCCTGTTATTACTGGCATTTATAAAGCGCCAACAAATTCCGCAGTGTTGTACAACTGTTAAATGCATAGTTTGATGTTCCTCCCTAGGCAAAAAAAAACAAAACATTAGATAATTGTATAGTGGGTTATGCTTTCCCCATAATCTAGTTCAAGGAAATATGCAGTGGCAATGTGGTTGCATGTGTTCTACATTGTTACCCCAAGTCAAAAACCCATACATTAAATGAGTCACAGAAAGCTCAGAACTGACAGCTCACAAAAGTTTGAAGAACAGCCACACCAGTTCACTAGCCATAGTAACTAGTCTTCACATTTCAGAAGCCTCAGTACAACTACACAAGCCCTATAGAATTTGAGTGAGAGGGTATTCCTGCCACATTTCATTGCTCAGATTTTATTCTGAAAGTGAGCCAGTTTAGAGTTGATATTTTATTCAGACATAAGAATCACTTACCTTCCTCTAACAGGGTTGAATTCTTCATATGGAAGGCCTGGGATCCTCCCAATGGGTTCATTCCTGAATAAGAAGGTTTAGATGCAGCGTTTGTGGTTTTGAATGCCAGAGTAATGGAGACAACAAGTAGCCTCTTAGAAGTTTGAAATCCTTACTATCAAACTGAATTCTTCAGTCAACTAAAACTTATACAGGCATGTCATTCTGGTGTTTCCAAGAAGGAGTTGCAGGTATACCTCTACCTTGGATTAACTGAAATCCTTGGTTAAACAAAAAAAAAAAAAAAAAAATTTAACCTTTCACAAGTCTGAAAACAGTCTTGGTGAATATGAAGTGGTGTGATGTCAGGGACACTAGTCACCAGAACTACAGCTTAAATGTAGTTCTAGTGAGCATAGTTCCCTTCAATAGCTTTATTTAAACATTGCCTTTTCAGAGAAAAGGCAGTGTTTACATTGCCTCCTAGGGAGGCCTCCATGTGGCCACAGAGTCCTTCCTGGGTCAGTGCTGCTGAAAAAGCAGCCCTGCCGTTCAGCATCCCCATGCTCTGCATTGAGATGCTGAATTTCTTCAGATTCAGTGCATCTGAGGTCCTGATTGGCCAAAACAGCATTTGGCCCCACCCCCATGCCAATTTTAGCTAATTCTGACAGAACTGAGCAGCGCTTTAAAACGTTGCTGGAACACATGTTTGTATTACTGACCCCATAGTGTTCCTTTAAATATTAGAGTTCTGTAGAAATGGCAAGTTTAAAGAAATCTCTAGAGGCCATCCTCGAAGCACTTGCTAGTACTCATAGGAAAGTGTGGCACTAGTTTGCATTAGAACCAATGCTCTGAGGATTGATTTTGCAAGGAGATCTGGATGATCTGAGAAGGCCCAACACTGTCATCTCATGAGATTGTAAAACCTCTATCACCATAAGATTACTTCAGTGGGTTCCATGTTTTTCCCTCTCTGGAGGAGAGAGTGCCATTTTATGAGCAGCAAGCTTTGATATCTTCATGAAAAGTCCACTTTGTGGATTCAAGAGAAAGTATATGAAGTTCGTGCCCCTTTGCTTGCATCACAACTAGTTAAGATATCCTCCATACAAGTAACTTACTTTGTTTTTTCAGACGCATCATAAGGCTGAACGTTGTTAAAGCCGTTTAAGACAAAGGTGGTAGGCTTTGGAGTCTCATCTGAAGATACAAGGTCAGTTTTACATAGAGCATGTCTAGAGAACATTTTAAACGTTTCATGCAACATTTAGAGAGGCATGCTAAGCACCATATACCCAACAGACAGTTCACTGTAGTACTTTATAAACATGGCAAGTTAAACAGTTTAATATTTGCCTGCCTCTGCAGGATGCCTCCACTGACAGGAGGAAGTGGAAGTTCAAACTTGCTACTGCAGATACTTTTCAATGTTTAAGGGATACTCCCAATACAATGATAAAAATACACTGTTAATTAGTTATACCCCAGCCTGGAAGTACCCAATATCTGATACTGGGATTCTGTTTCCTGACTTTGAAAAGAAGAGTCACTTCACCAGCTGACTGTATATCCTTGGGATTAAGCTGAATTTGAGACTGCAAGTGCTTGTGTACATATTGATTCACTTCAATTGTGCCACTATTTGTGAGTGTGGCCAATTATCTGGGTATATTAAAAAGTTTTGCAGCATGATCTTTGTTTTGTCTCTTATGCAAGTTTGATAACCAACTCAATGTTGTAACTATAACCACTATATATTGTGCCTGGTATACAGTTTTTCACTTAAGCAAAATAAAAATAAGAGTCTTTATTCCCACAGGCAGTTCTCTTACCCTTATCAAAACCCATGATTTTACTAGTTCTACATAAGAGGGACTACTTTTCATTATGTCTGATTGCATGTTGGCAAAACTTGACAGAGTGGATCTTTAGTCAAGCTCCATGGTCTATATCAGCTTTGTCATTGGCTGGCCACTTCTGACTTATCTCAAGAGTTGAATACGGTTGATAATTGTGGGACCCCTTAGAGCCAGTGCTGTAAACCCCTGCCATGCAAGTGAGATGATCCATATGTGCTTGGATTGAGCAGAGGAGAATTCTAGAGATGCAGTGACTCACAATGAGAGGCAAGTAGCACAGCCCTCAGTGCCATTAGATGCATTGGCTAGACAGCATTAATGTTGAAAGAGCTGCTTTAAACGTCAAATCTAAAGTAACAACATTTCATATCAACCTATTTACCCAGATCCCAGTTCTCTTCACAAGGGGGACTCTGCCAGGAGGATTGTGAAGCCTGCATCACCACTGTAGAGATAAGATTTTTACAATGTGTAGAATCCACTTTATGGCATATTACAGTACAATACTTTCATTAGAAGTCAAATCCCTTTGACGTGTCAGTTCACTTGGGAAGTTATCTACAGCAGGTCCAGGCAACCTTTGGCACCCCAAGTATTGTGGACTACATCTTCCTTAATGCTCTTATAACACATTAAGCATTAAAGGTTGCCTTTGAGTTTCACTCCAAAAAGACTTATCAAAAGGTAGGCCTGCAGCTCCGCCACTGAGTGGACAACAATCTGCATTAGGACAACCAGAGAGACATAGTAAGGATATCACTACCTGTATCCAGGTTGGAAATTAAAAGCTGCTCACTCAGTGCTGTTGGGGCTGATCTGTGTGTAGTTTTCATAAGGAAGTCTTTTGGGCATGAGAGGCCAATTGTGCCAAATCTATAAAGCAATTAAAAAAAAACCCCCACAAACATGGAGGCCAAATGCTTTTTCTTTGTATTGTTGCCTAGAGTGTCCTTTAAGATTTGAGCAGTGTTTTATATGCCACAAAATTCAACCTTCTGAACCTAGAATGCATGATGTAATACTATGCCACTTTGCAGGCTTGTATTTGGCACATATTGGTTAAAGTGGAACAGTTTATTTTTCTTCAGGTATCCAACGTTACAATATGAATAATAGAACATGTAGACGCAGTTAAATAAGATCAAATAAAGTCTACTGACAGTTGAATTTGCGGTCTTGCAACATATCAAGATCTTAACTACCTGAATCAAAATAAACCCAGCAGTGAGGAACTTATTGAAAAAAAAAAAAAAAAAAAAAAAACCCCACACCTTGGGTAAAGTACCAGTGTACTCTAGCTTATGGTGTGCTCCATCTTCATCCATGAAGTCTGCCCAGTTTTTCAGTTTGTGGATCTGTTTCACCTCAACAAAAGTCTATCCTAATGGTGTCTGGGTTCTCCTGATGTAAAATGTTCACCCCCAGTCAAGTTACTATAGTGAGTGCAATCAGACAATGATACTAGTGTCAACATACCAGCAATTTCATCCAGAGAGACTTTGTTTTCACAGCTTTCCATATGCATCTCAAGTTCTTTTTTTGGTACTTTGTGGCGGGCGTTATATGGGCAGGTTGCAAGCACTTTTCCAGCCAAAGGATGATTCTATTAAAAAAAAAAAAATTAAAAAAAAATTGTACATTTTTCTATATACACATGCCATGTGTTAAATACAGGCTTTTATATCATGAGAAGTGACAGGTTGTGAAAGACATTTTAACAGACAGGAGAATGAGTTGAGCCACAAACATACGTTTGAAGCAAGTTATAGCCATGCGGAGACTCACCTCTCGGCATTTTACAAGGTGATAAGGAAACCTGCTGGGACGAATCATGTGGTTTTTGTCATAAGGACACTGGAGGAGGCCTTCTGAAGCCATGGAGCTGATTTGACCAAGAAGAATATACACACACATTAATTTCCATATTTAGAACATTGACACTAGAATAGGAATATCTAGCTGAAAGAATTGACAAGAGTTACAAGTCAGCCATTTAAGTTGTAAACAAGATATTAAAAGGATCACCTATTTTTCCCAGCACTACTTTATTCTATTTTAATCAGAAAAAACAAAAACAAATAAACATTTTGGTTACATTTCAGTGTAGTGACATTCCACAGCCATTATACATTGCATCCCAATAAGCTTGCTTCATTCATATATAGGCTGCCGAAGATAATTGGGATACAAGATATAAATGGGATGAAAACCATGTAGAGTATGCCTTTAAAAGAGAAAAAAAGAGCATTATTAAAAAAAAAAACACACCCCACGAGAAGATTTGCCTTTTAGAAGCACAACTAGTCTCAGAATTCTGCAGTTTCACTATAAAAGCAATTGTGAGAACGTTTACAGCACTATTCTCCAGACCAGAATTCTGGGTATGCCCCAGCTATCATGTGATCGTAAAGAAACTACAACTACCACCGTCTCTGTTGCAGAGAGAAAGAAAAACACACAAGGGTTATCAGCTAGAACGCCAAGTGATAAAGTTGTCTAGTTTTACATCAGAAGTAAACCGTCAGAAAGCACAAAACTCATCAGAATAAGCAGCAGATACACTCACCTTCTATAGACAACAGTTACCCTGACCACCCTATCTGGGAATAAAGAATTTAAAAACACCCAGAAAAAGTAAAGTAAAGCGTTAAAAATAAAATACCCAGACTATCCAAACGGAGAAAAGGTGAAATACCCCGAGACTATTCTTACTGGGGAGAGAAAAAATAAATAAAATAAAACCCCCTGACTATGCTAACTGGGGGAATAAAAATACACACACTGCCCTAATAGGGAGTGGTTTTTAAAAACAGCTAACTAATTCAAAGACCAGGAGATGAGTGGGGGGTTTAAATAGCAGCCACGTGGTCCTCTGCTCTCATGCTCATAGGTCCAAACATGATTGTACCGTAATCCTTAGAAAAAAAACACTAAATACAATATTACCCATTAAAGCAACTCTCCCACAATAGAGACATAGGCATAGCTACTCTGGTAGTCTGCAAAGTGCTTGTATAAGGCTGTGAGTTGACATTGCAATCTGATTAGTGAGTGGGATCCGTACTTAATACCTGCAATTTGGAAATAAGTATTCATGCATAATATATTATGATTTAGTATGTAATGGGTTTTTGTTTGTTTTTTTTACCCATTGAAAAGATGTAGATAACATAACCTGGTGATCTCAGACTCCAGGGAAATCATTAGCAATTTTTGGTTCTCAGCTGGAACTCATGACATTCATCTGAAGTTAAATAGATCCATTAATTGAGAAATTAGAATATTACACTGTATAGGTGAGGGAGGGATGCAATGAAAGCAGGATAGATTACATGGATTATTTTCCAAACTAGGCATTGGTTTGCGAATTGCACATTTAATAAATATCTTTTTAAAACTTTTGTCCCAAGTCTTTGTCGCTTATACAATTTGTGATATAGTAAAAACAAAAAACAAAAAAACACTTTTTTTTCACTAAACACTGATGTGTAGGAAATGTAACTGAATTTGTAAAAGAAAAGTTATTTACTCTAGAGATAAGAATATTTGATAAATGTAAAAAAACCGAGACTAACAGTTCGTCCATCCATTGTACAGCGCTACGGAATTTGCTGGCGCTTTATAAATAATAGTAATAAAAATAACAGGGTTATTCACTAAAGTGAAAGCCAAAGTAGCTAAAATGGTAAAAATATCTAAATAGTTTACCAACTAATAGCTAATAGGCTTCTGGCTCCTTAGGTTCTAAAGGTTTCTGCCACGTACCATGACCACATCAATAATTTGAAGTGGTTCTGATGTCTGGAGACTCTATTCACTATAAAACGCTGCATATACTAAGTTTAGCCCCTTTTCTGCCAGAGGTGTAGCTACATCCCCAGAGTCATTTGGGCATCATTAACCAAGCCACAACAAGAGTCCTGGACTGGGTAATGTAAATTATGTGCATATTTCTATGCTCAGAGGGCCAATCATTAGTGGAGAGCGACCAATTAATCAGTGCACGATTGAAATGTGGCTACTGCAGAGGCTGGATATTGTTAAAGGACCACTATAGTGCACTTTAGGTCCCTCCCCACCCTCATGGCCCCCCTCCCGCTGGGCTGAAGGGGTTATACACTTACCTTTCTCCAGCGCCGGGCTCTCTCGGCGCTTGGGAACTCTCCTCCCTCTTCCGACGTCAGTGCTGAATGCGCGTGCGCGGCAAAAGCCGAGCGCGCATTCAATCAGTCCGTAGGAGAGCATTTCTCAATGCTTTCCTATGGATGTCAGCATCTTCTCACTGTGATTTTCAATGAGACAGCCACTAGAGGCTGGATTAACTCTAGTGTAAACATAGCAGTTTATCTGAAACTGCTATGTTTATAGCTGCAGGGTTAACTGTAGATGGACCTGGCACCCAGACCACTTCATTAAGCTGAAGTGGTCTGGGTGCCTAAAGTGGTCCTTTAAGATTCCTGCATAGTAGTCCTGGCGCCTGGTACGCCCAAGGTAGGAGGACAAACTGTTGTAAAACTATTTGCCAAATTACCAGGTAATGTTGCAATCAGTAGGCTGTAGTGGTTATGATGGTAGAAGTAACCCTTTAAATTTGAAAGCTATTTTGGCCTCAGGTTTGCAATTTGGGTATTTAATAACCATATGATCAGGGATATTCACAATAAACTCTGTACTTTTGCAAATTAAATTTGATTGGAAATACTAAGGAAAAAATAGCTGGTCTGGAAGAATTCTCCAACACTCCACTTTGCCTACTTTTGCCTCAGTTTTGGTACTTGCAAAATGTAATTAAATTTGCAAAAATTGATTAAATTTGCAAAAAGGGCGAGTTTAGTGAAAAATCATGGTTTCAAATACTAGACTAGTCATGGGCATCTTTTCCAAGATAAAAGGTGCAGGTAGGGTAAATATTATACCACTATCAGAACAACTCACATTGTGGCTATTTTTGCCTCAGTTTTGCTATATTTTATTTAATTTGTGAAAGTTAGGAGTTTAGTGAAACTGAATAGCCCTGAGAGAGACTGATTACGTACGGGTCCAGCTAATCCTAAACTTAGAATTAGTATAAAATAAGGGGGCGTACACACAACTGGGCAGTGGCGTACACACAAACCATGGGGCCCCAGTGCAAAAAGGATCCGTGGGCCCCCCCTATCTCCCCGACAGACACACACACACACATAAGACACACACAGACACATACACACAAACAGACAAGCACACATATATACATACAGACACACGCAGACATACATACAGACAGGCACACAGACACATACAAACAGACACACACACTTACAGACACACACAAGACACACATACATACAAAGACACATACATAAAAAAACAGACAGGCACACATACACACAGGCAGACACATACAGACAGGCAGACACATACAGACAGGCAGACACACACACATACAAACAGACAGATACACACAAACACAAGATGCACATACATACATACAAACAGACAAGCACACACACATACAGGCAGACACACACACAAGACGCACATACAAACAGACAAGCACACTGTCACGAGCGTGGGCTATAGGCCCAGCCGAGACAGTGGGGAGAGTGTGGAAGTGACAGGGTTAATGACACCAGACCCCTGGTTACCTGTTGCTATTCCCAGCAACCACTTAATTAACCCCTGCAATCCCTTCTACACTAACCCCCTTAGTACTGCCACCACCAAGATGTTTAAACCCGGGCGTCTTAGGTTACCCCACACACAGGAGAATTATAGTATCACAGTTCTACTTTTACTGATAAAACATATATAGTTAACCCTTTTTGGTAACGTGTTTACCTGAGCTTTCCTCTGGAGAGTGAAGCTCATAGAGAACAGAGACACAAGCTGATTAAGTAAACATTTAATCTGACAAAAGGATTCACAGTGCTGAGTACAAAATACAGAAATAAATGACATACAGATAACAAATTGCAAAACAGTACATAAAATAAAATAGGAGAAAACACAAGAAATTCCTTACATATATTTACCCCATATAGAATTCTTGTGGGAGTCTTAGATGGTATAGGTCTCCTAGAAGTTACTGACAAAAGAAAAATGAATAACTGACCCTCCCTGGATAGTCCAACACCCTCATATATCTAAACTAGCTGTTTCTCAGTGGGCAGACACCTGGGGGGGGGATCAGAGGGGGTTGGTCTGGCAGTCTATTGCCCACTCTATGAAATTCCTTGTGTCCAGCTCTGGTGATGGCTATCTAGATGTTTTATGGTCTAGGCCTGGTGCAAGATCAAAGACCACAATAAATGTCATCTCAAGGTTTACAAAAAACAACTCTTAACATATATAAACACACATCAAACACCAACTCATGCTTTTGGCATGACACCTCCCCCTTAAGATGGTGGACAGAAAAATGCAGCCACAGGCTGATTTATCTGTCTACCATTAACCCTCTAGTTGCCGAGACAGGCCATCTGCATTCCCATGCAAGCTGCCCTTTTTGTGTTGGACAGTGAAATTATACTGTTGGAGAAAAGGGCTCCAACGGAGCAGTTTATCAGTGTTACCTGTCACCTGCAGCAGGTTGTGATCAGTCCATACCACAGCTACCCCCTCAACAAACATGCCTGATTTGCCTGTTTCAATTTCCCATCGATCTCTGGTAACATCCCTTAAACCACACCCACTGCGCTCATGTAGTAGCTGTAAGGGGAAGAAACCAATGGATTTCCGCAGCACTCCCCGGTAAGCACACAAAAAAGCAGACAGAGAACACTCCCAGGATAGATGGGCTGTATCAACATCCATCATCTCTTTCATTTTGCCGTCTGTCTGCTGGGCTTGTTGCACTATCAGACTCTGAACCTTTGGTTCACAATCAGAAGGTTGCTTAGGTGTATGCGTGAGTTGTGATAAACTGACAAGGTTCCTGGTTCCTCCAACAGTATGTTTCCCTGCAGCCATCCTTCCTGGACCCACAGGCTGAGTCTGTCCGTGCCCCTCACTTTCACTCCAGGTCATCACACATACCGAACTTTGGAAACTGGCTAAGCCTGGCGCAGAGTAAAGCTCACACACCCTCTGCCCTCCCCCATAGCCTCGCTGTCCCTTCACATTTTCACCCACCACATCACATACATCTGCTTCAGGCACACATTGGCACATATATTCATTCAGCCCCCTCTCGCTGGAAGGCTTTTCCCATACATTTTCACAGGACACATTTGACCCCCCTTGATCAGACACAGAATTTTGCACACACTCACATAATTTCTTCTCCAAGGCAGGCCCTCCTCTCACAATCTCACATAGCACCTCAGACTGTCCTGCTGCAGCCCTGACCCACTGTTGACTTGTTACCACTGCGACTAATGGTACACATCCCTGGCTCTCACCTTCCTCCTCTCCCTTACTCTCTGACATCCCAGCCTCACAGTATTTTAATACAGGCACATCACTACTCACCCCTATCTCACATTTGGTAGACATCACTGGTTCAGTTACAGGTAGATATTTATCCACACCCTGCTCTCCCTCCCAGCAATCACACTTCACAATGTCTCCCAAAGTTTCACACAATACCTTAGGTGGAGCAGTCAGCCCTTCTGGCTCACAGACAGTGTCCGCTGGAGCATAGTGACAGAGCATCCTGCCCAAATCATTCCCCAACAGAACATTAACAGGGATATCCTCTGAAATCCCCACTTCCCGCAAACCTTTGCCCGCACCCCAATCAAGGTACACACGTGCCAAGGGCACAGCGGGGCGTACACCCCCAATTCCTTTGATGGACATGGTCCTTCCAGGGATTATGTCCTCCGTATTCACCACTTCAGGTCGCACCAGGGTGAAGGAAGCTCCAGAATCTCTCAGTCCCATGGTCACTCGGTCACCCACAATTACACTCTGCAGGTTATCCTCTCGTTTCCCCACAGACCCACCCACAAGCAATACTGATGGTGCCCCTCCACGGGCTGGTGAGGGCATATTCCTAGTGGGGCAAGTCCTGCTCAGATGACCAATCTGGTTGCATCGAAAACAATGGCGGGCATCTGACTCACTTGACATAGCCCCGGCTACGCTGGCAGTCGGCGGTGAAGTTCTCACTGCAGATCTTACAAGTGGTGTTTGAACTGTAGCTTCTCTCCAGGTCGAAGTAGCAGCTGACACAAGTCCACGCCTGGATGTGGGTGCATGGATGTCGGCATAGTCATCTGCCAGTTCTGCAGCAGCCCTAGCATTTTTTGGCTTTCTTTCCAAAATCCACTCTCGTACATTAGGGCTCCGGGTCTGCAAGAACTGCTCCAGGACCATTAAGTCATTAAGGGCTTCATAGGTAGTAGCTTGTACTCCTGTTACCCATTGCCGGAACGTGGTTTCTAATTGTGCAATATATAGAATGCAGCTGGATGATGGGCATTGCTGCATACTCCTAAACTTTTTCCTGTAAGACTCAGGAGTAAGGTTAAAAGTTTTTTGCAATGCAGATTTGATTGCCTCATAGTTGTTATCAGTCTCTGGGGGAAGGGACACAAACACATCCAAGGCTTTCACTTTCAGTTGTGGAGTTAAATATCTGCCCCACTGGTCTGAGGGTAGTTGATGCTGCCTGCATACTTTCTCAAAACTTTTTAAAAATACATCCAAATCTATCCCTTCTTCGAGGGAAGGAAAATCATCCTTACGGAGCCTACGTGTGCTGGACTCTGATGCATTGCTGTTCAGTGAGGACTGAAGGGTAAATTGCAGTTTAGCAAGTTCCAGCTCATGTCTCCTTTGAGCCTCCCTTTTGGCTAGCCTCTCTGCAGATTCTCTTTCTGCAGCCTGCTGTTGGATCATCACATGCAGGGCCTCCTGAGGATTTGCAGCCATCAGTTGCCGAAATAAATCAGTTGAGCAAATGTCCTTAATGTTTTGAGGGGTACAACCACCAGGCATTTCAGTAAGCAACACTCCTGCAGTAGTAGGGAGCTCGGTAACCCTTTCAGTGTCCGTCTCTGGCTGGAAAATATGGCTGTCAGCCTCCACAAGGTCAGCAATAAGTTGTGCCTTATTTTTGCCAAAAGTTGGTAAATTCTTTTCTTGGCACAACAATTCCAAGGCCTCTTTTGATTGTTTGCGATAGGCCTCCATATTCACAAATAGGATAGAGAAAGAAAAACAAAAGATGGGAGGGGAGAACTGTTTTGCACTTTGTATGTATTTTAAATCAGCACTGAGCTTGGTCTTTGGAAATTACACAAAAACAAGTATGCAATTTCTTTTAGTGCTAAGACCCCCTTTACAGGTAAAATCTAGCAAGCACTAAAAATCTCTAAATATATCCCACTAGCTGCCGCCAGTTTGTCACGAGCGTGGGCTATAGGCCCAGCCGAGACAGTGGGGAGAGTGTGGAAGTGACAGGGTTAAAGGTTTCCCTGGACTGAATAAGGAAGGGAAAGACATGACTGCTGCCCAGGGAGGGGGGATGGACATAAAGGGATACATATGTAGCAATAAGGGACCTAGTACATAAGGGAATCTGGGGGTGGGCCCTTGTCACTCAGTAGGTAGGAAGAGAGCTAAAAGGAGCTTTTTTCCCGCCCTTTTCTTTAATCTCCTTCCTTCTTCCTACACCTTCTGAGAGTAAAAAACAAAAAAAACAAAAACAAAAGAAGAACTTTTATTGATTTTTCAATTAACTGCTCACCTGGCAAGAAGAGTTACTCACCTTGGCACGGGGAGAGCTATGGTGGTGGTGTCCAAGGATGCCCTGGTGGAGATGCTGCAGGCATATCTGTCGGAGAATGGCACCGGGTCGTTGGGTGAAGTGATGGCCGGCCTGCAGGGTGGCAGCGATGGGGCGGCAGTGGTGGAGCCTGTGGAGAGACAAGATGGCGGTAGAAGGCCTAGGCGATCCAGGCCTCCTATGCGCCTTTCCCCCAGCCCAGTGCGGTGAAACAGTGGCAGGAGGAGAGTGCCCGGGTCGGACGGAGCGAGTGGAGCGGATGGAGGTGTCCCCTTACCTGTCCGGGCTGCAGGAGGGTGGCTGTGGCGAGAGATGGAGGCTGGTCGGCGGGATCAAGATGGCGGCGGACGAGGGACGCGGTCGAGGAGTCCGGCTTCTTTTCCGGCCCAGCCGGAAGTGACGTCTGAGCGCGCCCGGCGCGCGGGAAGAGTGACGTCGGCAGAGGCGCCGCGGGGCGCGTACGTGACGTCAGTGCGCCGGAACGCACTGACGTCGCAGGCCCCGCCATCTTGGAACCGGGCAAACCGGTCCGGAGAGCCGGGCAGCCGGGAGCCTGGCCTGGAAAGTGCCCGGGCGGCATGGAGGGACGGCGGCCGGCCGGGCGGTCAGCTCAGGAGCTCGGGGGATGGCGGCCATGGCGGTGGTCGGCCAGAAGAAGCGGAGGATGGCGGCCTGTGGAGAGGCCGGCTGGAGATGGATGAAGAAGCGGCAATGGGAGAGGAAGACAGCGTGGAGGAGCTGGAGGAGCTGCTGGAGGAACAGGTTCCTGGCAACCTTCCTGTGTCCGGTGAGTCAGCCTGCGCAAGCGCATGGGGTGGTCTGGGAGGTTTTGCGCTTGCTTAGGGCCATAGTGGCAGGGTTACCAGGGGCTGCGCAAGGGGGGGCATTAGCTTCTGCGCCAGGGCCCGCGCCTGCAGCTCCAATGTGCGCTTTTCGCCCCAGCATACCTGGGTGTGAGTTATCTCCGCTGGGCATGCATGTCCCTAGCGAGACGCGCAAGAAGATAGTGCGCGGCGAATTTGTGGATTTGCTTTCCCTGGTTCCGCCGGACAAGGATGCCGTAGATAGGCCGAGACGGGGGGAGCCGGGGGAAGGGGACAAGGGCAAGCAGCTCCCAAGAACTTTTGGGAACTGGTTGCAGGGGTTTGCAGTTTTCGCCAGTGTTTTGTCCAGGCAGTTCCCGGAAAGGGCCCCTTCGTTATTCGGGTACCTAGATCTCATTTGGGGGGCTTACAAAATATACGGCGGTCAATGCTGGTTTCGTTATGACCAGCAATTTCGGCAGAAGATGGCGGTATGCCCGGGGTTGGACTTCGGGGTGCAGGATGGCAGCCTTTGGCTGCTGCTCATGACTCCCAGCCGGCCGGCACCCTTTCAGGGAGCAGCCGGCGGCCCGCCAGGGGCGCCGGCTGGCCCTAAGCGAGGGGTTTGTTGGCTCTTCAATGAGAGCCATTGCAGGTGGTATAGTTCCTGCCGCTTTCGACACGAGTGTTCTCACTGTGGAGGAGCGCATCCTGCGTCGCGCTGTTTCAAAAAGGGGAAACAGGTGCCTCCCAAAGGTGGGGCCGCGGACGCCGCCCCAAAAGGCCTGGACCCCGGTGAGAGGGGAAAGGATGGCGCCGTGGCTCGCTCGGTATCCTAAGCGGCGGGATGCGTTGCTGTTGGCGGACGGGTTTTCGTCGGGGTTTTGGGTTCCGTTTGTTCCCTCGGCGGAGCCGCGTTTTGCAAAGAACTTGCACTCGATTCAGGGTAGGGAAGGGATGTTGCGGGAAAAACTGGACAAAGAGGTAAGTTTGGGGAGGATGGCAGGGCCGTTTGTCCGTTCGCCATTTGTGAATCTTCGGGTGTCGCCGTTGGGTTTGGTCCCCAAAAGGGAGGAGGGAGCTTACCGCATGATTCATCATTTATCTTATCCAGCAGGTGAGTCTGTTAACGACGGCATTGATAAGGAGTTCAGCCGCGTCCGTTACGCGTCTTTCGACAGGGCGTTGGAATTGGTCAGGGATGCCGGGGTTGGAGCCTGGTTAGCGAAGTCCGACATTGAATCGGCCTTCCGCTTGTTACCAGTCCACCCTGAGTGTCATCACCTGCTCGGTTGCCACTTTGAGGGTAGTTACTACTATGACATGTGTCTGCCGATGGGGTGTGCGATTTCCTGCTCCTATTTCGAGTCCTTTGCGTCGTTTTTGGAATGGGTGGTCATTCAGGTTTTGGGTTTTGTGTCGGTGACACATTATTTGGATGATTTTTTTGTTTGTCGGGAAACGGGGGACGGGGGTATGTGGGGACCTTCTGCGTGTTTTTCGGGAAGTGGCGGCTGATTTCGGCATTCCTGTCGCGGAACAGAAGACAGAGGGTCCGGCAGAGGTGCTGTCGTTCCTCGGGGTGGAAATTGATTCCGCCAACATGGTTTTTCGGTTGCCGGAGGACAAGGTCGCAGTGCTCTTGCGTTGGGTTGACCTCGTCAAAGGGGCGAAGAAAGTGCAGTTGCGGCAGATGCAGGTGCTGCTGGGTCACCTAGCATTCGCTTGTCGTGTTTTGCCGATGGGTCGGGCGTTTTGGTGACGGTGGGGATTCGGGAGCCGTATCATTTTATACGGGTTACGAAGAAGCTTAAGTCGGACTTGCAGGTGTGGAGTTCCTTCCTGGAACGGTACAACGGCCGGTTGTGTTGGTTGCGAGCGGCGGTTGGGAACTCAGTTTTGGAACTTTTCACAGATGCGTCTGGCTCCCTCGGCTTCGGGGCTTACTTCCGGGGCCGGTGGTGCGCGGAGGCTTGGCCGGACAGCTGGCGGGGTACAGATCTCATGCGCAACTTGACCTTCTTGGAGCTCTTCCCGATTGTCGTTGCGATGGAGTTATGGGGTCACGAGTTGCGGGACCGAACTGTTGATTTTCATACGGACAACATGAGTGTTGTCCACGTGATAAATCGCGCAACGTCGGCTTCACCGCCGGTGCTGGCATTGCTTAGGCGCTTGGTCCTGTTGAGTTTGCAGCATAATGTGTGGGTTAGGGCGTGTCATGTGCCGGGTGTGTTGAATATTGTGGCTGATGCGCTTTCTCGGTTCCAGTGGCGGCGTTTCCGAGAGGCGGCACCAGAGGCGGAACAGATGGGGCAGCCTTGCCCGCAGTCTTTATGGGAGCTCGATTCCGAAGATTGATGGGGTTGGTGTCGGAGTCGTTGTCAGCATCCTCGTGGAAGTCCTACCGGGCGGTGTGGTCTAAGTGGCTCGGGTTGGTGCCGGGGGAAGGTAGCCTGTCGTCGGACTCAGGGCGCTTTGAGGTAACCTTACTGTTTTTGGAGCAATTGTTGGATGAAGGGCGGTCATGTGCTGCAGCGGAGAAGGCCCTGTCGGCCCTGTCGTTCTTGTTTAGGTTTCTGGGTTGGAAGGATATGACCAGGGAATTTAGTATTCAGAGGGCCCTGCGTGGGTGGCGGCGGAAGAGGGTCCCGGATCAGAGGAGGCCTATTTCGGTGCAGCTTCTGTGGGAGCTCCTGGCGACGCTGCGGCGGGTGTGTAGTTCGGAGTACGAGGCGTTGTTGTTTGGGGTCGCTTTTTCTTTGTGCTTTTTTGGGGCGTTGCGGGTCGGAGAGGTGGTGGCCGCCAGTCGTCGGGTGGCGCCACCGCTGTTGGTGTCGGATGTGCGGTGGGCGGTCAAAGGGCTGGACTTTCGGATCCGTAAGTCCAAGACGGATCAACGCGGTGAAGGAGCGTGGGTACGTATTGATGCAGCAGGAGGGGAGTACTGCCCAGTGCACCTGTTTCGGAGATTTATGCAGGTCCGCCCTACGGGCGGGGGTGCGCTGCTGGTGCATCAGGACGGGTCTCCTATGACGCGCTATCAATTTAGCAAGATTTTGCGTGAATCCCTGGTGGCGAGCGGGAGGAGCCCGCAACGGTACTCGGCCCACTCCTTCCGGATTGGGGCGGCTACACAAGCTAGTGAGATGGGATTTTCACCGTCAGCGGTGCAGGAATTGGGGTGGTGGCGTTCAGGAAGGTTCCAGTTGTATGTGCGGCCGCACCTCTTATAGGGCGACTTTCAGGGTGAGTAACAGTTTCTTCCCGTTTAGTTTTTCTGTTTGTTCATTTCTAGGTTCTCGCCCTCGGTATGTATGGATACTAGGGCATTCCTACATCTATTGGGCAGCGAGGCGGGCGGAGGAGCGTCCATATGGCCGCAACCTGGGGTGTTCGTACGACCAAGCACGGGTCCGATGGAGGGGCATTCGCGGGTTGTCATGGAACCAGGTTTACCCAGAGTGCCGTTTTATGAGCAGGTTGGTTCCCAGTTCGGTGATCTTGGTCATTCATGCAGGGGGGAATGACCTGGGGCGGGTCCGGATAGTGGATCTCATGCACGACATGAAGGAGGATCTTGCCCGGTGCATGGCATTGTTTCGGGATGTCACGTTGGTGTGGTCGGAGGTGGTCCCGAGGCCCTGCTGGCTGCAGTTACCTTATGCAAACGGGCTGGAGCGCAGCAGGCGGAAGTTGAACATGGCGGTGTCGAGGTTTGTTCGGCAGCTTGGGGGCATCGTGGTCCGGCATGTAGAGTTGGAAGGGGATAACAGCGCGCTGATGCGGTCCGATGGGGTGCACTTAAGCTTGATTGGTTTGGACATTTTCAACATGGGACTGCAAGGTGGGATTGAGAAAGCGCTGGCGGCGGGGGGCGCGATGCCGGGGGAGGGCGTAGGAGGCTGGCATCGCGGTGGCGGAATACCTGGCCAGCGCATGGGAAGGCAAGTGCTAAGTCGGATTGGGGAGTCACAGCATGCTTGGGCTGAAGGCGGAAGGCAGGCTGCTTTGGACTCTGGTAAAAGGATGTGAGACCTGTCTGATGGATGAATCACCCCATCAGCTGACAGTTGGTTTAATGCTGGTCAAAAATGTTCAATAAAGCTGTGGCCGTTGCCCTTATCCACTATACAGGTGTTGTGTGTTTATTGGGCAACGGGAGGTTCGTGGGTCTGCAGTCAAGGTTTCCCTGGACTGAATAATGAAGGGAAAGACATGACTGCTGCCCAGGGAGGGGGGACGGACATAAAGGGATACATATGTAGCAATAAGTGACCTAGTACATAAGGGAATCTGGGGGTGGGCCCTTGTCACTCAGTAGGTAGGAAGAGAGCTAAAAGGAGCTTTCCCACCCTCCCTCCCTATAATGGTTGTGGTTGGTAGTCAAGTGGCGGTGTTGGTGGTGTTTTTCTTTGTGTCTGGTTGTCTCTGTTTTGTTTTTGTCACAGCGGAATACCTGGCCAGCGCATGGGAAGGCAAGTGCCAAGTCGGATTGGGGAGTCACAGCATGCTTGGGCTGAAGGCGGAAGGCAGGCTGCTTTGGACTCTGGTAAAAGGATGTGAGACCTGTCTGATGGATGAATCACCCCATCAGCTGACAGTTGGTTTAATGCTGGTCAAAAATGTTCAATAAAGCTGTGTCCGTTGCCCTTATCCACTATACAGGTGTTGTGTGTTTATTGGGCAACGGGAGGTTCGTGGGTCTGCAGTCATGACACCAGACCCCTGGTTACCTGTTGCTAGTCCCAGCATCCACTCAATTAACCCCTGCAATCCCTTCTACACTAACCCCCTTAGTACTGCCACCACCAAGACGTTTAAACCCGGGCGTCTTAGGTTACCCCACACACAGGAGAATTATAGTATCACAGTTCTACTTTTACTGATAAAACATATATAGTTAACCCTTTTGGTAACGTGTTTACCTGAGCTTTCCTCTGGAGAGTGAAGCTCATAGAGAACAGAGACACAAGCTGATTAAGTAAACATTTAATCTGACAAAAAAAGGATTCACAGTGCTGAGTACAAAATACAGAAATAAATGACATACAGATAACAAATTGCAAAACAGTACATAAAATAAAATAGGAGAAAACACAAGAAATTCCTTACATATATTTACCCCATATAGAATTCTTGTGGGAGTCTTAGATGGTATAGGTCTCCTAGAAGTTACTGACAAAAGAAAAATGAATAACTGACCCTCCCTGGATAGTCCAACACCCTCATATATCTAAACTAGCTGTTTCTCAGTGGGCAGACACCTGGGGGGGGGATCAGAGGGGGTTGGTCTGGCAGTCTATTGCCCACTCTATGAAATTCCTTGTGTCCAGCTCTGGTGATGGCTATCTAGATGTTTTATGGTCTAGGCCTGGTGCAAGATCAAAGACCACAATAAATGTCATCACAAGGTTTACAAAAAAACAACTCTTAACATATATAAACACACATCAAACACCAACTCATGCTTTTGGCATGACACACACACACATACAGGCAGACACACACAGACAGACAGACAGACACATAAATACACAGACAGGCACACACACACATACATTAAAACAGGCAGACACACACACACACACATAAAATGTTTAAGTCACCCTCCTGTTTCCTACCTTTAAGGTGCAGGAAGGTGACTTTCCCTAGGGTCCAGTGGTGGGTCAGGTGGATGGGAGTAAGAGTTCCCACTGTGACTCCCTCTTCATCCTCCCGCGTGGCTCTCAGTGATAGCTGGGAGGAGTGATGTGCGGTCACTTCCTCCCAGCTTATGATGTCATCACAGGGGGCCCAGTCACGCTGTTAAAGCGCCCAGCGCTGACCGGGTCCCCTGACAATCCACATCCATCGGGTGGCCCTGACAGCATGGACCACCCGATGGACTCCTTGGACGGCTGTTTGCTGCGTGGGCCGGGGCCACAGAAGATGATTGCGGCAGATAACCGGTCACAGGGGTCCGCAGGGCGGCCGGGCCCCCTGGAGTGGCGGGCCCGGTCGCAGCTGCGACCCCCGCGACTGCGGTATGTACGCCACTGGCACTAGGGAGCACTGACCAGTCAATCACTTGTTCACTGACTTAGGGCCAGTCACCATATCTAATGCTGGGAGGGAGCCTAGCAGCCCCTGGTCTGTACTTCCCCATGGGTGCAGACCATGAGTAGCTGTCTACCAAGCTCCTGCCAATCAGAGCATTGTCATGGGTTACCACAGCAACACTCTGACACTGTAAGTTATTAAGACAGTAATTCCTGGTATGTATACAGCTCAGGTGCAGACCAGAGGCTCCCTTTCAATAGCATCATAGCACATAGGGACTATGTCCTTCTTGTTGCAAGGAAACAACAGGGAGAGGGTATGGGTGTTTTTTTGTTTTTTTTTAAATAATGATTGAATTAATAAATTAATTAAATAAAACCACTATCCAACTCCTATACACACAACACCTTACTATACACAATGCACACCACTATAAACACACTGTAACCTCATACACACACCACACTTACTATATACACACCATATCCCCTATAGACACACTATACTCCTATACACACACTATAATTCCATGTGCACACAAACACTTTACCCCAAAAAACAAACTTTACAAACCCCATACTCCATCTTCTAATACACACACAATGCAACCACTATACACATGTATATATATATACATATATATAAAAAAAAGTTCCAAAGATAGCACTCCAGGGACTTGTAAAAAATTCACTTTTATTACCTTCAATCAAACATCCAAAGTGTCAACGTTTCAGCCCAATAACCTCAGACGATGTCCTGATGAAAGCCTGAGGTTATTGGGCTGAAACGTTGACACTTTGGATGTTTGATTGAAGGTAATAAAAGTGAATTTTTTACAAGTCCCTGGAGTGCTATCTTTGGAACTTTTTTTTGCATTTTGGCTGACAAGCACCGGGCATTAAATCATTTAAGAAGGTGGAGTGCAAGATTTTTTCTATTTTTTTTTTTTATACATATATATATATATATATATATATATAAACATTGCAGCCCAAGATACAAACACACACAAAACCCCACAATCTACAGTCCCTATACACGCATTCTACAGCTCCAAAACACACACAAAATCTCTACAGCACTGAGAAATGCACACGCGCACACATTGCAGCCGCTGGCCACACATAGTACACCACAAATACACCCCCTTGCACACACGACACCACAAACAGTCCCCCTTTACTAACACACAATCTACCAGCCCACCAGCTAAGGAAGTGCAAGTGTGTCATTACATTTGTTTTGTTTCTTTATTTTAATAGGAGGGCATGCCAAAAAGGGTTTCTCTATCCAAAAATATATAAACACACTGTTTTTGGTTGGCATAATCCCTTAAAAGTGCTAGCTCAGCAGTTTAAATTGCTTATATAATTTGTAAGAAACTATCTCTGTTTGTAAGATTTTCAAGGGTAACAGATATTGCTTCTCCCCCTTCTTGCAGGATAAGTGCTAATAAAGGGTATGTGTCAGATATAGCAGCAAGTGAGATTTCTGGCGCTTTTTCCTTATGTGTGCAGCAGCTAAAACTTTCCCAAACCAGAGTCTCTTTTTTCTGGTCGTTGAGCAAGTAAAACAGGGGATGTAGGGAAGCAGCGCTTGACAATTGAGTTCCTTGTGTGGGGTCCAATGGAGCCAATATAAGGGAGAAAACAAAATGGGACAGGAATACTAATATAGTGTAGTATGTCTTTAACAGCAGAGGCAGAATATAAGAAAAAATATATTGCACTCACACTTTTCTGGAGCTCAAGATCAGCTCAGTTCACAGCGTATGGATGGTAAAATCCCCGTCTGTGGATGTTAAGATGGTCCTGATTTCCTCTGGTATCGTATCCCTGTGCCAATAATCCATGTGGTGTATTCCAGATGATGCTCGAGTGATGTATAAGGGATATAAAAGAACAGGAATATTGTTCTCTGTATTAATAAAACAATTAAAATAAAGAGAGAAATATACTCACAATGGATGAGCAAATAGGGATTGCCCAGTCCTTTACAGCATAGGTGGTTTGTCCCCCACCCAGGAATGTGAGATACAGCTTCTCCAATAAAAAGATGTCCAATGAAGGTCCAGGGGTACAAAGTAGAATAATTTTATTAAAACACTTTGAACACTTTGAAAAAGTTTTCTGTATAGGTGAAACGCGTTAGTGTGTTACTTTTTATTTATTTAATAAAATCAATCTACTTTGTACCCCTGGACCTTCATTGGACATCTTTTTATTGGAGAAGCTGTATCTCACATTCCTGGGTGGGGGACAAACCACCTATGCTGTATTTTTAATGTGGCTCCCTGACACCCGCAAAGCATATACAATATTCTGGAAATGACACACTGTATACAATGTATATCAGATTGTGTGTGATTTCCAGGATATTATATATGATAAATGCCCTTAATAAATGCCCCTTCAAATGATCCACCTGATGAAGAGTATTGATGAACAGGGGCCTGGTTGGGTGCCGTGACCCTTTAAGAGCCTGATCTAGCCACTGTAGTATCTGCCAGCTTGTCACTTCCTCCCAGCTTAAAAGACAGCCACGCGGTAGGAAGTGAGGAGGAGGCTGGAGGCTACAGAAAGCAGCATTGTGGCAGAGGAGAGGCTAGAGTGAGCTTCTACATGCTCACTCCCATCAGTCCCAGCCAGGACCCCAAGCAAGCCACCCTCCAGGACACAAGGCAAGCAAATTAAATAATTAGACCGTGTCTATGTATGTAAGATTGTGTGTATCTGTGTATGTGCTAATGTGAATGTCAGTGTGTATCTGAGTTTGTGTGTGTATGTGCCAGTGTGTGTATCCTTGTGTATTTAAGTGTGTGTATGTGCCAGTGTGTGTATCTGAGTGTATGGGCCAGTGTGTGTATCTGTGTGTCATTGTTTATCTGTGTGTTTGTGCCACTGTGTGTATCTGTGTGTCAGTGAATATCTGAGTGTGTTTGTTTGTGCAAGTGTGTGTATCTGTGTGTATGCAAAATGTGTGCATCTGTGTGTATGTGCTAGTGCATGTATCTGTGTGTCAAGGTGTGTATATGTCAATGTGTGTGTGTGTTTGAGTGTCAGTGTGCATATCACGTCAGCATGATTGTCCTGTTATCTGGTCCCCCTGGAATGTATTGGCTAAAATTAAACACAACTGTACAGCAATAAATTGTAAGCAGAATAAATAAAAGCACAGATGAGGTCGTAAAAAGTATAAACTATTGTATAATAATGACCTTATAATAAAGAAGTGGGTATTCACACAAGTGTTTCAAAACTTGTGACAAAAGGGCATTTGCGAGCCCCAGGTATTACGTTTCCTTATTTTGAGAAGGGGTTTCCATGCATATACTCAGAATTCAAGCTTTATGCTCCACATTTTGCTCCCCACAAATCTCAAAATAACTTTTACTTAGCGCAACATTAGTACATGGATTGCTATGGCAGGATTTGCAAAAATTCAACATGAGAAAAGAATTAAAATGCGCAGCTTAGTTAATCAGGCCCACTGGTGAATCCTAAATTTGTTAGAAGAGCATGCCAAACTACAAATATTCAGGGACCCCTGCCCCTTTATCAATGTAACAATGGTTTCACCAATGGGCCTGATTAACTAAGTTGCGCATTGTACTTTTTCTCATGTTAATTTGGTAATCGATCTAGCCTTGTTATCAACTTTGGACTAACGTGGTTTTCCCGGTCCTCATTGGACATTAATTTTGTTATTTTTTATTAAAAATAAAATACATTTTAAGCTTATCTACCTATTGGAGTCCTGACTGGTTCCTGATTCATGGTGATAACTCCAATCCTGAGAAGCAGATACTAGCCCTCCATCCACTTCAGGGGAGGCACCCTTGGAGCGCTTCTTACTCAAACATCTTTTGAGTGCAATCTATAGCAGAGAGTGTTTCTTATAATCAATTTTTTTACACTATGTTCTGTTTATTTATCTTTTTTAAGAAATACCAGCTGAATCCCACATGTGTTGTGTATATTTCTAGTATATTTCTCATTTTGTCTCTTTTTACTTGGTATTAGATGCCTTTTCTGCTTACATTTCCTAAACTACTCTCTTCTGTTCATCAGACTTGTTCTGTGGTATTCATACATATTACAATTGTGCTCAAAAGTTTGCATACCCTTGAAGAATTGGTAATATATGTACCATTTTTAAAGAAAACATGGGTGAGCAGGCAAAACACATTTCTTTTATTTCTTATGGGATTAAGAAATAAATTAACTGCTGGCCCAACGGAGCATGACCATTCCTGCCTGCTTTACTCTACCCTACCTAACCTATACTTAGGCCTTGAGGCAACTCTTCTTCCCTCTCTACCAAACCACTTCTTATTTTCACCTGTAACCTTAACATACACACGCATACATGGATAAGACAAACACACACTATAGTGATAGGCCTGCTTTTTAACTGGGACCAGTCAGTGCGATCATAGAAAGTCAGCACTGTAATCACCTCATCAACACCTATCATGGATTCCATCGATGACGTATGGGCATACGCACAACCTTATAGGGTAGGATAGTTGGGGCGGACCAACCAAGGAAAGGCCTTTTACTCACTGGCAACGCTCACAGGCCCATAACTGTACATAGTGTGAGGCCTCGGTGGCCACATGGAGCCCCTTGAAAGTTAACTATACCTGGTCTGGTTCAGACTACACCATAGTGAAATCCCTCTTAAAATACTTTACAAGATGCGCCATGGGTTGCAGGGTACACTCAAGACGCATTACGCTCTAAGGGTTGGCCTATTGCTATACACACTGATGCCAGGTGGAGAAGGGTAGTACTGTACCATGTAATGTGCTGATCGCTGTTGTGCATCTGTTTGAAGTATCCAGGCTCTATAGGCTTGGTTTAGCCCTATATAATGACCCATTATACTACCTATGTAAGCGACCGTACTTTGTTATGAGCATTCAGGACCTGCGAGTCCACACCATTGAAAATGTTTGTACTGGCAAAAATATGCTTCTAACCGCACAAAACCTCAATAAAAAAGATTTACAAAAAATAAATAAATTAAGTGCTTTATTGACTATAGAACATCTCCCTGGCTGTTAATCAGAGAGCCAGGAGGTTTGCAGCTTGCTTCCATTAGCTCCCATGAGCTAATAGAAGTGTCAGGCACGCTCTACTTGAGCGCATCTGCTTCGTCCCACACAGCTCTTCCAGACCTCACACTAGATGTGCGTGAAGCCACTGATTGGTCATTTCCCAGTGAAGAGACTGAAAGTCTCTTCTGCAGAAAAAAAAGGGGTGGGCGGGCGTGCTAAGGCTGCAGTTCATAAGATCTGCAGCCTTTGCAAGCTTTTTAACGATATACACCTAATAAATACATGCATGACAAAAAGCATGCATGCATTCATTTGGTGGATATCTTATATACAGGGATTTGATTTTTTTTTTTTTAACCTATATGTATGTAATATGTATGTAACAATTAAAAAATAAAAAGAAATACCACAAACCTTTTTTAAAAATGGTGAAAAATGGCACCTCAATAAGGCTCAAAATACATTCTGTACTCATGAGATATACCTAAGCACAATTTAGTGATTTTTAACAGTAGCGCACAAAACGTTTACCAAATAAACAGCTAAATTGCAATGTGCATTTAAAAAAAATAGAAAATAAAATAATACCATACATTCTGAAATACATTGGTGGTAAAATGGCTGTTTAATAAGACTCAAAATATACCATATGATATCCACCATGATGTCTAAGTTCACAAATGGTATGCATTTATGGGGTCATTTAAACTGTTGAACTGCTGCATTGTCCCCAAGTGTGGAATAAACCCATCAAATCCATCTATCAAAATTCTAACCGTAAAAAAAAGAAATAGTCAGGTCTCTTATACGGTAGTGTAACTTCACAAGATAGTGGTTAATGCATGCATTGGGGGTGTAACTTTTATTCAGAGGAGTTTGCTAAGCATAATTTGGGAGGTCTGATCATAGTGGCATATAATACATTTACAAAATTCCCACAAATTTTTTTATGTATTTGTATATATGAAAAAAAAAAAATGTTACCACTAACTTTGACATAAACTAGATTGCAGAATTACACATTAAGGCACACAATACACAATATGAGATACAATGGAGGGTTTACTTTCACAAATGGTACACATATATAACAGGCACGATGTTGTAATGCACCTTCGAAAAGAGTGTCAAAATATCTTTAGGTAAGTATCCTGTGTTGTCTACTTTATATAAATTCATACTTTCGTGGAACAATTTTGTTTCCTGGGATGGCTATTGAACTTGCGTGACAGACACCTAAATTGTTCCACATTGAAACTGTATTTTTACTCCTTGTAGTTTGTGATCTGTAACTGCCAAAAATAATCTGGGATCCTACATATGATGTACTCTGTTAACCTGGACAAATAAATAAATTTATTTTGAATTAGCTTTTTAAGCTGCAATAATTGTGCAGACATTATTATTGCCAAAACTGTGAAAAAAAAGTTTGTTTTCAGTTTTTTGTATTTTTTTTATAACAAATGAGATTATTATTGTATGTATGTACATGTCACATCAAATTAAAGCTTATTTTGTCCTGTACTATGTGTAATAAGTGAGAAAGGTGAAATTGCAACTTAACATATATAGCAAAAATACAAAAATTGCAAACGGAATCCCTTTATGAAAAAAAAAAACTATAAAGAAAGATTGTAAAAAATACAAAAGTCATGTCAATGCTTCCATTTTATTTTGGAACCAGTCCATTGTTAATTTTATTACTAATGTTGGCATTGTTCAATGCAATTTTCGTCTCTATATCACAAGATAACTGCGGCAGAGTAGTTGATGGGTTTATTATCAAAAGTCCCTTTTTAGGAGTAAAGACCTTTGATTTTGTTTGCAAGAAGGCATAGTAAATTATGAATGGCTGCTTTCAAATGAAGCTCCAGATGACATTTGGAAACCTAGAAGAGAGATCATAAATAAGAACATATTGCATCTGAAGATTTGAGCATGACTTGTTTGTTCCAAAAAAAGACATTAAGGGTCATATTTCTGAAGTTATAGCTGGTACTATTAGGGGCACATTTAATGTATTAAATAATTGAGAGACACTGGTGTCTTTATCTAGCATTTTTTCAAAATGTCAACTAAAATTGGCAAAGTGGAGAAAAATCTGCAATACAGCACAATCTGAAATGTCTTTTTTCCAGCTGTTCTGTTTTGATAAAGATGTTGTGAATTGATTATCAGAGTTCTACAACTCTCTAACTGTTTAGTGAACAGTATTTTTCTAAAAAAAAAGAAAAAAAAAAAGAAAAAGAAAATACATTTTGCAACACTCAAAATATGATCTTATGTCCAATTTTTAAGTTTAAAGGAACACAAACATGTATTCCTGACCTTGTAGTATTAAAAACACAATCAAGCCCTGCTGGCCCCCTTTGCCCTTCTAAATATAGTAAAATCTATCATCTTACCTTTACTGCAGTCTGCTGCTGCTGGCTCTGCCCCTGATCTGCCTGCTTGGCTGACATCATCAGAAGTGTTGTTCAATAACAATGTGTTCCCATAGGAAAGCATTCGATTGGTTGAGACTGTCAACGAGGCAGATCATGGGCAGAGCCAGCACAAGTCAAACACAGCCCTGGCCAATCAACAGCTCCTCATAGAGATGCATTGAATCAATGCATCTCTGTGAGGAAGGTTCAGTGTCTCCATGCAGAGGGTGGATACACTGAATGGCAGTGCTGCACATTTTCCAGAACTGACCCAATAAGCACCTCTAGTAACCATCTGAGGAGTTGCAATTGGAGGCATGCCTAGGCTGTAATGTAAACACTCTATTTTCTCTGAAAAGACAGTGTTTGCTGCAAAAAGCATGAAGGGAATTGTCACGGCTCCCGTCTCGCCACATGGCGCGTTCTGGCCCGACCGGCACGACTGCGCCAACAAGCTGAGCTTACCTGCTCGCCAGCGATCCTCTGGGCAGTTTGCCCACAACAAAGATGGCGCCGACCATGTGGTCGCAACCATTAATGGCTCCGGCCCCAGGGTTACACGAATGTGCGTGTGACGTCACGACGCCAACGCACAAACACGTTCTAGGGTCAGAGGTCAAACTCTGACCAATTACAGACTAGAGAGGGATATATAAATCCCTGAAGCACCCCACTACCTTGCCCTGTCGTGGTTTCCTGTCCTGGTTCCTGAGAGTGCGTTTATCCTTGCTATTATTGTGATTTCCGGTATTTTGACCTTGGCTATTCCTGACTACGCTAATTTCTGGTTCCCCTGACTTGGCTTGTTTAACGGTATTTGTGTATTTCTGGCTTCCTTGACCTCAGCTATTCCTTGACCATTCTCTGTCTCTAACGTATTAGTCCGGCCATTCTAAGGACCGGTTTACATTCTATCCTTTCTGTTCCTTTCTATTTTCTATGTAGATGTTACATAGTTATGCATGCTGGACCACACTAGCAGTCGTGACAGGTATAATTATACTCACCAGAAAAAATACAATAAGCTGTAGTTGTTCTGGTGACTAGAGTGTCCCTTTAGGACATAAATGTACATTTGTGAACAATTTTGATAGGCAGTTGTTGATTTTAAAGGGACACTACAGTCACCAGAACAACTACAGCTTATTGAATTTGTTCTGGTGAGTAGAATCATTACCTTCAGGCTTTTTGCTGTAAACACTGTCTTTTTAGAGAAAATGCAGTGTTTACTTTACAGCCTAGTGATAACTTCACTGGCCACTCCTCGGATGGCTGTTAGAGATCCTTCCTGGGTCATGGCTGCCTAAAATGCATCCAAACATTCAGTATCTCCTCCCTCTGCATGCAGACACTGAACTTTCCCCATAGAGATGTATTGATTCAATTAATCTCTATGAGGAGATGATGATTGGCCAGGGCTGTGTTTGAATCATGCTGGCTCTGCCCCTAATCTGCTTCTTTGTCAGTCTCAGCCAGTCCTATGGGGAAGCATTGTGATTGGATCAGGCTACCACTTCTGATGATGTCAGCAGACTGCTTGTTTTTCTGAGTCAAACAGCATGCAGAGTTACAGCTTTAGGATTGAACACAGTAAGATTTTGCTATATTTATGGAGGCATGAGGGGCCCAGGGGGGCTAGATGGTGGTTTTAACACTATAGGGTCAGGCCCTATAGTGATCCTTTAATCACCCGGCTTCTTGATAATAAGTTGGTATATATGAAAGCAAGGGAACTGGATAGGTTATCTTTGTTGATATGTAGAATCAGTGGTAAGGTCAAGATAGTTGAGTTCCTATCCTGGAAGTAGTGAGAGCAGTCTTTATGGACAAAAAAAATAAATAATAAAAATTTAAAAAGTAACTACCTCACAGATTAGTTTGGGAGGAACAATTAGGAACTTACAGATCTATAGTCGTGATTTGTCTAACAACAAGTTATGACCAATATTTGTTTCAAAATGTAACTTGTGTTATGAGGAGATTCTGGTTATATTATACAGGTAATGGCCAATACTTTAAAAGGACTCTTGGCTCTGATTATGTATACTCGATATACCACAAATTGCATTTAGGAAGTGGACCAACCTACTGCTTTAAGGCAGGGATAATTAGACCCTCACAATCTTTAGGGCCCTCTGGTATGTTTAGGTGTTTTATGATGTGTGTTTCCATCAGTCATGATCTATTATTGCTAATTGTTTTTATCCCCCTGGGGTGTGTTATCCTTTATTTGGTGGTCTCCACAATGAGTTTCTAATCCATTTTATTTTATCATTTTCTTCTACCACTTTATATATTTTTATTGTATGGTGTTAATAAATAACTGTTGTTTTTATATATTTTATTTTATTATGCTTGATTTACCTTTTTAGCATTAACCCCCATTCTCTATTAGTCTCAATTTAGCAAATGCATCTGTGATAAAGAGCATTAAACGAAAAGTTACCTTATCAATAGGTCCCGTTACCAGGTACAATTAGAATCACAATTTATTTAATTTATTAAGAGAGTAAGCCTTAAAAGTTCTGAGTTAGCTTATATTTAAATGCTATTATTTAACAACTAGCACTGTGCAAATAGCTACTTCTTTTAAATTACAAATCCCTTCCCCCAATGTAAGTTCCTGATGCTCACCACACTTACCATCACTCATACTGGATCTGAGGAATGTAGAATTTGTTGTCACTAGTGCTACTATGGAAGATGCAAAGATAAAAAAAAATATTAAAATGTAGAACAATATTTTTTTTTTAAGATTCGTCTTTTTAAAAAAAATTTCACTTACAAACATACATAAGAAAAAAAAATAAAATAGACAAAAAAAAAAAACAACAACACATAACATAGAAGACAATAAAGCAAGAGAATTGTAGGGGGGCATGGTTTGAAGTCCGAGCGGCATGGACGTCTGAAAACAGAGCTCCTTGTCACCACGCTACTATTAGCTACATGCCGCGGATTACAATACCTTAATGGGGCGCACCAAACGACCAGAGCAACCACAGACCCCCAGGGCTGCACCACCGACACTGCCCGATGGATGATTTCCTTCAAACCCCGCTGGGGCCTAACCGGGAGGTGCATGGGTCCAAGATGGCGCCCGTGTCTCCTGCCTCGACCAGCTCGGTACAGGAGGAGCCCACACTGGCAGATAGCGGAGCGGAGATCAGACGGCTGGCGGCTACCATGGTAACAAAATTGGCCCTACAGTCCCTGACAAGCACCCTCACGGCATCCCTCACCTCTACGGTAACAGCACTGCAAGCAGATGTAGATGCACAAGGCAACCGCATACAGGCACTGGAAGCACAGGCCCAGGCCTCACAGCACCAAGCATCTGCAGCTAACACAGCCTTAGCTCCCCCTCGCCCCCCCTGGGACTACGGCCCACCATGGGGACTCTTTGCTTCTGGCGGGAATACTACAGTTGTGCTTGTTTGAGGTGGGAAGTAGCGCGGGTCCTGCCAGCTTGGAGGGGCTTCGCTGCTTCAGGAGGGACCACTGTTACAAAAATGTGAGCTGGACACCTGCATACTATCCTACAGAAGCCTGAGACCAGTCTTGACCAGTTGCCAACAAGGCCTGGGATGGTTCCGCTTGGTGGAAAACGGGACACTATCACACAGGTTTACATGGGAAAGAAGGGATGTTTCTATTTTAGTTGGAATAGCCGAGGGGGAATAATCTCTACAGCAGTTGCTGCGCTGGGGAGGCTACGGAGAGGAGGTGGGGAGGGAGGAGGGGATGGCCGATGAAGCTGGAGGGGATTACCCTGCTTTAATCCTACCCCCACCACACACGAGCAAGGATGGGGGGGGGGGGAGACAGGGATAGGATGTGGCTCAGAGGTATGAAGCAGGACCAGGACTGCAAAGTTCCCCGGTTCAAATCTCCTGTAGGGAACTCCTTGGGCGACCACGTCTGGCTGTCTGTCTGACAGTTGATAGGAGCATGCTATTGAGTGAATGATATGTTCCTAGTAGCTGTAAATTCAATTTCAATCAATTGCTAATAGATTATTCTACCATTTGTATAGCATGGAGGAAAGACGAGACAGGGGGGATATGATAGAAACATTTAAATATATAAAGGGAATCAACACAGTAAAGGAGGAGACTATATTTAAAAGAAGAAAAACTACCACAACAAGAGGACATAGTCTTAAATTAGAGGGCAAAGGTTTAAAAATAATATCAGGAAGTATTACTTTACTGAGAGGGTAGTGGATGCATGGAATAGCCTTCCAGCTGAAGTGGTAGAGGTTAACACAGTAAAGGAGTTTAAGCATGCATGGGATAGGCATAAGGCTATCATAACTGTAACGGACCGTTTTGCACACAAGGGGTAAAACCGTTTAAGCGATCGTCCCCTTTCAGAGATGCAGGCACAGCTACTGTAGAACACCAAACTCCCGAACCGCAAATAAGGGAATGCTCCAATCTCCCGAACTGCATACAATATAGCACTCCAAACTCACGAACTGGAACCATACGAATCGCTGCTAGCAGACGAATAGGAAAATCACCCAAGTGGCTTACACTCCTAGCAATCAGTCTCTATCGGCGTTCAGTAAATCCCCCCAAAGACGAGACAAGGCTCCGTGTTGAGGGTCAAGCAGTGGTCTGTTTACTGAGGGCTACCTGCCCAGTATTTATGCAGGTCTCCCACCTGGTGGACATTCCCTAGGGGACCAAATGGAAGACTGTGACAAAAGACAGACAAGTAGACAAATAGGACACACAGTCACATTATATTCCCACAATGCATCCTGGCTTCCTCCCCTCTGCCCTGGAGATAATGGAGAAGTAATTCAATTATCTCCCAGGACAAAGGCAAATCGCCATTATGCACGTGGGGATACTAACACAAGAATTACTATTAAAATATATCATGCAAGACACATAACATTAAAACCATACATTTAACCTATCCCCAGATAACTCAGGTCTGAGCGCACATTATTAAGCGAATGGCGCTCAGACCACACGAATACAGTTCAATCGCCATGGAGCCAAAGTCTTTACAAAGACTTCCTAGTAATCCTCCGCAATATCTACCCAGCTGAATGGGTCTGGATCTGGGTCTCCGCTTCCCTGCTGAGCCTTCTCACTGGAGTGGAACATATCTTGGTAGCCCTGCTCCAGCTCCATATCTCGGGTCACTAGGTGGACCAGGTCTTCGTGAGTGTCACCCCAGTCATATCTCAGTCATATCAGATCACTGAACTGGGCTTGTGTAGGGCTCCCAAACTCAGGCTCTGCAAAAGACTCCCATAACAAGCCAGGACCATCAAACTCCTCTCCCTCTGGCTTGTCATGCTCGGCTGTCCAGGGCAGGTACTGTGCCCCATACCACCAGAGCGCCTGGTAGGCATCTTCCAGCCACATCTCCTGCCATACCCGGAGCACCAATTCCTTCACCCATTCATCCAGGGGCTGCTCTCCCAGGAAGGGCATCCGCAGGGCTAGTCGCTTCTGCAATCGCTGATCTTCCTTGGGGAGTCTCTCGCCCCGCTGGTACTCTGCAATACCCAGTGCCTGGTACCAGATGCCTTTGCGCAGCGCATCTCAGTCATAGATGACACCCTCATCATACTCCACTGCTGGTTCCATCCTGGTGCTGTCAGGGTCGCTGTACTGGGACATGCGTTGCCCTTAAATTGTAAAATCCACGGATATGGTGTCTCCTGTAGCTGTCCTTCTGACTGTAGGAACGATCCCAACGCTACCACCAATTGTAACGGACCGTTTTGCACACAAGGGGTAAAACCGTTTAGGCGATCGTCCCCTTTCAGAGATGCAGGCACAGCTACTGTAGAACACCAAACTCCCGAACCGCAAATAAGGGAATGCTCCAATCTCCCGAACTGACTAGATGGGCCGAATGGTTATCTGCCGTCACATTCTATGTTTCTATGTTTCTATGTAAGGGGAGGCGTAGCATCTTTATAAATGTGTAGAATTAAAAACAAATAAATGCTTGAATTTTAAGATAATTAAAGAATTATCCTTATTAGAAATCACATATTTTTTGCAGAGAGCAGAAAAATATTTAATTTTATTTCTCTCTATTAAATCAGCAACCAATATTAACCCTTTAGATTTCCAGTTTATTAAGTCAATGTCTTGTAAAAGATCCATTAGAATGTCCACCTTCAAGGAAGGTTATATTTTTTCTTTAAAACCTAGATTTTCTTTGATTTTATACCAATTCTTTAAAACAGAGTTCAAAAATAAGACATTTCCAAAAAAACGTAGTTTTTCAATTGTCTCTAAAGGGATCCAAAAGGCAGCGGCAAGATTTTTAAACATTGCTATTCTTTTTAATTTTAAAATATACCAGCTTTCCTCTTTAGTAGTTTGATGTAAAGTACGAATTGCATGAGCTAAAAGTGAAGCATGATTAAGTCTGTCCAATGAAGGAATACCTCACTTTTCAATTGATTGAATACCTCACTTTTCAATTTTCATTGCTAATAACTTCTGGCTAATTCTAGGTCTTTTTTTTTTTGCAAGAGAAACTTGGAAAATAGAGTCTGGTTTATCTTCATCCAGCTCAAGGGATATTTATGGGTAGTAAACTCATCATATAAGTTATTTTGGGCATAACATAAGATTTAACAACATTAATCCTTCCCCACCATGATATATCCTTATTTTTCCATTGTTTGAAATTTGTATTAAAGTCTTTAATTAGAGGAAGCAAATTGATTTTAATCCAATTTCTGGGGTTTGTAGAGATCTTTTTACCCAAATAGGTGAAAGATTCTTTTGCCCAAACAAAATCAAATCTTGCTGCAATTTCTGCTATTTTACCTGTGTCTATAAATAACAGAAGGGCGATTGATTTGGATGTGTTAAGTTTGTAATTCGAGAACTGACTATATCTTTCTATAACCTTCAACAACTCTATGGTGGAATTAACTGGATCTTCCATAATGATCAGAATATCGTCTGCATATAATTTGATTTTGATCTTTGCTTCCACAAAGCCCTTAATCATGGGATTATTAAAAATTTCAGTTGCCAGGATTTCAATAGATAAAATATATAGAAACGATGAGAGCGGACATCCTTGCCTGGTTCCGTTTGTTTGGTCGAACCAGTTAGAAGAGAATCGCTGATTTGATATTTTACCAAAAGGATTTTGTTACAAAGCCATAATGGCATCATATATTCTACCAGAGAAGCCAATAAAGTTTAGGGTGTGCGCTAGGAAGTCCCAGCTGACCCTGTCAAAAGCCTTCTCCGCGTCCAGTGACAGGGTCAGGAGAGGAATCTCTTTTTCTCTAGCTAACTAAAAAATATTTTAAAGTGTTCGAGTATGACTCGAAGAAGATTATCCTGGCACAAAGTTAACCTGGTCTATATGTATTAGGTCTTTGATAACTGTTTTCATCCTGCCTGCTATCACCGCTGCATAGCTTTATATCTTAATTAAGAAGAGAAATTGGCCTATAACTTCTAACATCCTCTGGGTTTTTTCCTGGTTTTAGTATGGTAACAATGTTGCCTCTTGTAAGATCTATAGGTAATATGGCTTTATCTACAAACGTGTTAAAATCAGCTAGTAGATGTGGGGCCAATTCCTTTTTATAAGTTTTACAAAAAATGCCTATAAGTCCATCTGCTACTGGGGCCTTTTTAAGGGCTGGAGAATCAATCCCTTTATAGATCTCCTGAATAGAGAAAGGTTTGTTGAGAATTTCTATTTGAGTTTTAGTTAGTTTATTTGAAGATTTATTTTGAAAATATATTTCATTTTCTAGATTTATGTTATATAAATCTTTATAGTATTTTTCAAAAGAATTAAAAATACTTTCTGGGGACAAACATATCTTTCCCTCATATACAATTTTTGAAACCATTCTCGTTTTATATATATTTTTTATAATAAATATTTTAAACCCCCCTGAAAATGGGCAAGGATTTCTGCCATTCTTGATGGCAATTCAAAAAAGAAGAAAGAGAACCACAAGGTCAACCTGTAAGAGACTTCTGTATGAAAGAGACTGTAAGGCGGGGAGGAGCGTGGGCGGAGCCTGACCCAGTGCCGAGGGACATCGGCACTGGATTCATGTAAGCAGGGCCGGACTGGGAAGATAATTCGGCCCGGGCATTTTTTAATTACAGCGGCCCACTACAAAGGGGGCGGGGCCAGATAGGGTGTGTTTTGTCATCACCAATGACAAGCACGCCCCATCACAAAGTGAGCATGTTGGTTCAATGCTCTTCCAGGGTAGACCATGCGCAAAGCTCTGCTGAAGAGCTCTGGCATGAGAAAAAGACCCTGTATTTGTTCTGCACAGCGCAAGCAAATTCAATAACATACTTGCACTGTGTTTGCTTGAAATTTGTCTCTGGTGTCTCCATAGGTGGGATACCAGGAGACAAAAATGCTAGGAAAGCATTTGTGCAGTGTGTGTGAGGGTGCTGTGTGTG